AGGCCATTTGAATAACAAAATGGAATTTAATCAAATCATGATAATCAAATCCCTAAATTCTAAAACAACATCAAATGGTTCCAAATTAACATGTGCTAGTATACAAGCCCTAGTCATCACGAATATCAAGTTAAAAACTTAATTAGGCCAATGGAACCATTAAATGGATTTTAATTAATCATTTTAATTAAAATCTCTAGATTTTCACACTTATCCAATTGCTCTCAAATTAAAGTATGTTAAAGGACATGCCAAGACTTAATTTAAAAGAACATAACAAGCTCATTTCATGCAAGGTACGGCCATGGAATTTAATCTTTCACAAAAGATAAATATTAAATAAAAAGTGCAATTCTTATTCAAATAATTCCAATTTAATATATGCTAACAAACATATTAAAACATAATTAATCATTATGCCACAACTCAATTCTAGACTATATACATCATTGAAAATTAAATCTTATACAAAGAAATAAATAATACTAATTTTTCTAGATTTGATACAAAGCATGCAAATAAGTTGTATAATCATAGAGAACACTCAATACAACACATACATGAGGATACAATAAGTAATATGGGCCGGTTATAATCCGCAGACATGGCATCGGGGCAAACAATTGAAATACAGCCCATAAAAGAGCACCACAGAATGGGCCGAGCTCAGAGGGTCCACCGAAGAATACCAAGCCCATTGGAAAGAAGGCCCAAAACTGATAGTCCAGCAGCACTTGTAATTGCCTATAAAAAGGCAGCGAAGAGAGTGAAAGGGGGGGAGATTTATTTTTAATTGAAAATGTAATGAGATTCTGTCCAGAGAGAGAGAGAAAATTCTTTGCATCTTCAATTGGCGCCGTCTGTGGGAAGCGTTGAAGGTTGATTCTTATTTGATCAATGTTATGTTGATTCAAACTAATTGGTGATGACAAAACTTGATTTCTAGAAATTCAATCCAGATCTAAGAGATTGCGGTTTATTCTTGAGAAGTTCTTGATTCTTGATTGATTTTGAGAAATTGGTGTTAGGTTTACGCAGCTATGATTCACTCTATCGCGACTCGATCCAGCAAGCTCAGACGCTGAAAAAGCTCTGATTTATCAAAGGGAGAACATAACTCGTAAAATTTGAGTCCAGATCTGACGTGATTCGCATCAGCGAGACTCAGATCTAACTTAGAATTTGTGATTCATGCCTTTACTCCATTCTAGAATGATGACTGGGGGTGAGAACTCCAACACGGTAGAGAATGTCACGCAGATGAAACTTGATGAGTTGATGAGCATGATCGAAGCTCTCAGGAGAGAGAATGTAGATCTAAGGACTGAAATGCAGCGTCAAGAAGTTCCAGTGATTCAACAACCGCTCCCAGCCGGAGAAGAAGTTGTACGTACCGGTGTGGCACATCACATTGAGGAGGTAAGGAATAATCAGACAGATCTTCACTGCGAGGAGGTCCGGCCAAACGATTTGCCGCCAAATCCTCGTCGTGTTGATGATCGTGAAGGATCAACTCATGTGGATCCATGACGTGAACAAATCAGGTGAAACAAAGCCATGACTTTCAATCCGCATCAAAAAATGCTCAGCCGAGAAGAAGCAATGGAGTTTGGTCGCCACAAAGCTATACCGTCGTGGCACAAAGAGTTTATTGAGGAAAGATCGTTCAATCCAACTTATCGGCCTTCCCTGGCGACGCTCGACTATCGCAGCTCAAAAGGGAGATCTGTAGATCAGAGAGCAACCGCGGGTTCTAGAGGGAAAATGAAGCCCTCCGTTCAGCAGCTCAAATAGTTGATTCACCATTCACTGATGAAATTCTGAATGTTCTGAGTCCAAGGAAATTTTTTATGCCCGTTTTCATTCTGTTCGACGGAATGACCGATCCGATTGATTATGTATATCATATCCAGTTGAAAATGGCTCTGAACACTGAGAATGATTCCTTGATGTGCAAGTGCTTCCCTACAAGTCTAGCTGGACCAGCGCTCAATTGGTTCAAGAACCTGCCGAGGGGCTCAGTGGATAGTTTTTGAAGCTTGTGTGATCGGTTCATAAGCCAATATTATGGAAATAAATGTCCAGCAAAGGACATTTTAAGCCTATTCACAATGAAGTAACATGAGGACGAGCGCCTCTAAGCTTTCCTAACCAGGTTTAACCTTACTAAGAGCATGGTGATTGAATGTTATCCTTCTACGGCGGTTCAAGCATTTATGTTGGCCATGACTCATGGCACTCCATTCCACACAAGCTTGGTAGTGAATATGCCAAAGACTATGGATGAACTTAATGAAAGAGCCGATGGATTTGATCACTTAGAAGAAGAAGAGGCAGCTAACGCTCGGAAAACATCCATCATATCAACAGAAGAGAAAACCAAAGCAAAGATCAGACAAAAGCAAGTTCAGCCACAGCGTCAGACCTCGTGGAAATCTGAGAAGAGACCTAGGGAGGAAGAGCTGGTTACTCCATTGAAAGTCACCTTAGCAAGGCTGTACCAAGAAAATAAAGATAAGTTCCGATCTCCTTTACCAATCAGATAGCCCCTCAAGCAGAGGGATCAATCTAAACATTGTGCATTCCATTCTGACTTTGGCCATCAGACTAATGAATGAAGGAACTTAAGGAGACAGGTAGAAATGCTGATAGCCAGAGGGGGAGTTCACAAGTTATATTCAAGGCCCAGCGGTGGAACAGAACTGACCGATGGAGCAAGTGAAGAGGAATCAGAAGTCAAACTCCCACAATACGTAACCAGTTCGAATAATCAATGCAATTCACGGTTGGCCTAAACCTACTGAGGAGTCAGATGAACTGCTTCGAACACATCTTCGCCAGGCACAAATGAAGAGGAGGATAGGCAGTGTAAACACTCTGCACCAACAGATCGCATCAACATAGATAAAGTTTGACAGGACAGATCTGTTACGTGTTCAGACCCCTCATGAGGATCCGTTAGTCATCAGTTTGATAGTGGCCGAATGTTTGGTACGCAGAGTTCTGATTGATCCTAGAAGTAATACGAACGTCATGCCGAGGGACACATTTGATCGGCTCGAGATCAAGCCAGACTGGCTCAAGTCTACTGGGAATCCTTTGCTAGGATTTGATGGAAAACGAGTGGAGCCCATCGGTATGGTGGAGGTAGCAGGGCATGCTGCAGAGAGGGTTCTGATGGAGACCTTTGTAGTTGTTGAGATTCATCCCTCTTACAACCTTCTGATGGGCAGAGGGTGGATCCACAGAGTTCAAGGTGTTCCTTCCACTCTGCACCAAGATGCCTGGGACCAGACGGAACCAGGGTGATTGACATTCACGGGGACCAGGTTGCAGCTAAGGAATGTTATTCAATAACGCTGAAGTATGCTGGAAAAGGGAAAGCACCCATTCGTTCGGCAAGCCCGAGATAGCAATTACAAGAGCCTCCCCCTAAGCAGAATGGGGAGGAGGAGCCAGTGGACTTGACTGAAGAACCCCTAGTTGATGTACAGATCGATCAGGTCCGACCAGAACGAACAACCAGAGCAGGGGAACGACTTGTTGAAGAGGAGAAACAAGAGTTAGTTGATTTCTTGTCTCAGAACGCTGATATATTTGCATGGAGCCACCTAGACATGCTTGGAATCAATCCTTCCGTATCCTGTCACTCCTTGAACGTCAATCCCAATGCAAGACCTGTAAAGCAGAAGCAGCGAAGGTTCACTCCAGAGCGTAACCGGATCATAGCCGATAAGGTTGATAGGCTGCTTGATGCGGGATTTATAAGAGAAGTGTACTATCCTGAGTGGTTGTCAAACATTGTTATTGTGCAGAAGAAGAATAGGAAATGGCGAGTGTGCATTGATTTCACCAATTTGAACAAAGCCTGTTCGAAGGATAGCTCTTCGCTGCCAAAAATTGATCAAATGGTGGATGCTACTACTGGGTATGAGCGTTTAACCTTTTTGGATGCTTATTCAGGTTAAAATCAGATCCCCATGGACTCTGCTGATTAAGAGAAAACTTTTTTCGTTACCGAGCGCGGGATCTATTGCTATAAAGTTATGCCGTTCGGACTGAAGAACGCCGGAGCAACTTACCAAAGGCTTATTAGCAAAATTTTCAAGGGTCAAATAGGGAAAACCGTGGAAGCTTACATTGATGACATGGTAGTAAAAAGTAAGAAGAAAGTTGACCATCTGAAACATCTACAAGACGTATTTGATGTGTTGAAACAATATGGAATGAAGCTCAATCCAACTAAGTGCTCATTCGGCGTAAGTTCTGGTCAATTCCTGGGACACGTGGTCAATTATAGAGGCATAGAAGCTAGTCCTACCCAAGTAGAAGCTCTGACTAAGAATGTCGAGCCGACGACAGTCAAAGAAGTGCAAACACTTACCAAACGGATCGCTGCATTGAGCTAGTTCATTTCTAAATTGTCAGATCGCTGCTAACCATTTTTTGACACAATACGAAGCCATGGGAGACAAGTTTGGGGGGATGAACAGCGTCGAGCATTAACTGGTCTGAAAGAATATATGTAGAACCTTCCGGTTCTGTCAGCTCCGGAACTAGGAGAGAAGCTATTTTTGTACCTCGGGGTATCCAGCATCGCGACAAGTGGCGTTCTGATCCGTTATAAAGAGGGGAAGCAATATCCAGTGTTTTATGTTAGCAAAATGATGACTGAGGCCGAACGACATTATTCAAAGGCCGAGCAGGTGATACTCTCGCTAATACATGCGAAAAGAAAGCTCAGGCATTATTTTGAATCCCATCATATCATCGTTCTAACCACTTTCCCTATCAGAATAATCCTACACAAGCCGGACCTCTCAGGAAGGATGATGAAGTGGGCCATAGAGTTAAGCTCATTTGACATAACGTATGAACCTAGAATGGTAGTTAAAGGGTAAGCAGTGGCAGATTTTTTACTAGAATGTGATTCAGAAGACATAGAGGAAGACCTTCGTGGTTGCTTGTGGAAACTTTTTGTCGATGGATCCTCAAATTAGATGGGGGCAAGCATTGGAGTCAAACTGCAAACACCAGAAGGCACATCCCTAAGTCAAGCACTCTGGCTTAAATTCAGAGCCACCAACAATGAAGCAGAGTATGAGGCACTGCTGGCAGGACTTAGGCTCGCCAAGGAGCTGAAGGTCAGGAATTTGACTGTCTTTAGTGACTCGTAGTTAATTGTTCGATAGGTGAATGGAGAATATGAAACCAAGGATGAAATGATGGAAGCATATCATTCTGCTGTTATGCGGGAAGCCAAAAACTTTGAAAAAATTGAATTCATCAAAATACCGAGAGAGCATAACGAAAATGCCGATCGGCTAGCATGTAGCACCTCGGGTTCTGGAGAAACATTGGCAAGGGTGATTCCAATAGGAAAACTAAACCAGCCATCCATTTTTGAAGAACCTGCGGGCCCAGATCCTTAGCAAGTGAATGTTATTCCATATGAGCCAAGTTGGATTGATCCGATCATAACTTACATCCGGGATGGTACTCTGCCTGAGCAAAGAGATGAGGCTAGGAAAATTAAATCAAATGTTGCAAAGTACGCCATAGTGCATAACCAGTTATACAAAAGGTCTTTTTCTGGGCCGTACTTAAAGTGCGTCACCCCCATAGAGACTTAGCAGATACTACGAGCTATTCATCAAGGTGTGTATGGAAATCATTTAGGGGAGAGGTCTTTAGCGCACAAAGCAATGACGCAAGGGTACTTCTGGCCAAACATGTCACGAGATACGGAAGAATTATCCAGAAGGTGCAATAAATGCCAAAGGTTCGGACCATTGATCCACCAATCACCTGAGGACTTGCACGTAATGGCCACACCATGGCCTTTCGCACAATGGGGGATGGATGTGGTTGGTCCTCTGCCAACTGCAAGAGCTTAGAACAAGTATGTATTGCTGGCAATAGATTACTTTACCAAATGGGTAGAAGTAGAGCCATATCCGAGCGTAACGCAAACTCATGTAAGACGCTTCATCTGGAGCAATATTATTTGCCATTTTGGTGTCCCGAGGTCAATTGTTATGGATAATGGGACTAATCTCGACAGCAAGCAAGTCAAAGAATTGCTGGAAAAATATAGAATTAACCAAAAATTGGCAACAGTAAGTCATCCCCAGGCCAATGGACAAGCAGAAATTACGAATAGAATAATTTTTGCTTGTATCAAGAAGAAGCTAGAAGACCATAGAGGGAAGTGGCTGGACGAACTCCCGAACGTCCTATGGGCTTACAGAACGACCCTTAGACGGCCGACCGGGGAAAGCCCATTCTTCATGGCATACGGAACCGAGGCGGTCATACCGGTTGAATATATGGTTCCGACTGTCTGAAGCTTAGCATGGAATCAGGAACAGAATGACAAAATGCTGAGATTTAACCTTGATATATTAGAGGAAAAAAGAGATGCTGCAGCAATAAGGCTTGCATCCTATCAGCAAACACTGGCTAACAGCCACAACAAAAGGGTGAAGCACAGAGATTTCGCACTTGGCGATCTGGTTCTGAAGAAGAAGGTAGGAATGGTTAAAAAGATGATGTCACCTTGGAAAAGACCATACAGAATTGCAGAGGTCATAGGGAAGGGGGCATATATGCTAGAGACCATGGCCGGAAGGCTGGTTAACAAGCCATGGAATGCTACATCTTTAAAAAGGTATTATATGTAGAAAGTTTAAAGTTCTAATTCTGGCATTACTTACTTTCAGTTGTATAGAATTTCGAAATTTATAAAAAGCTATCTTCTTTTAAAAAAAATATATCGAGTTTATGGAAATAGCAAAGTAAGTGACAGTTGGCACTATGAGCCGAACGCCAAAAACTTGCCAAAAAATAAAAGAGTGAAAGTGCCAAGTGGCATTCCAGCCGAGCGCCAACCACTCAGCAAAGTAAGTGGCAGCTGGCACTATGAGCCGAACGCCAAAAACTTGCCAAAAAATAAAAGAGTGAAAGTGGCAAGTGGCATTCTAGCCGAACGCCAACCACTCAGCAAAGTAAGTGGTAGCTGGCACTATGAGCCGAACGCCAAAAACTTGCCAAAAAAATAAAAGAGTGAAAGTGGCAAATGGCATTTTAGCCGAGTGTCAACCACTCAGCAAAGTAAGTGGCAGCTGGCACTATGAGCCGAACGGCAAAAACTTGCCAAAAAAATAATAATAATAATAAAAATGTGTGGCAAAGTGGTACATTAGCCGAATGCCAACCACTGACATACAGAGAAAAAATCATATCATATAGCATTAAATGGCAAGAGTTTAATCAAAAGTCAGCCATCTCATTAATAGTGAATTTTTAGAGTTACAAAAAATGAGGTATACAAACGACAAAAATACAAAAAGAAGGAGGTCGGTACATCAGAAAAGTTCTAACTAGAAGCATTTGCCCCGTCAGCTTCTTGATGGTGCTGAACAGCCCCCACATCACTGTTGGCTGTTCCGTCCTCACAAGGAGGAGAATCAAGCTGAATGACAAAATCATTCTGCTGAGTTCTATCCTCATTGGCATTAGGAGAGTCATTTTGCCGAGGCTCATCTTCAGCAGCAATAGCAGAGGGAGCCACGGTGGACAGAGGAAGAACGCCTAGAGGTTGAGCAGTAGAGGGAGTAGGGATGACCCTGGAAGAGGCGATCTCTTGGCATCATCAAATATGCCCTCAGTAGGGGTGGAGTCTGGATCGACATAAACACCTGGAGGGTCAATCTCCAGCTCTTTGTCAACCTCATCAGGGGTAGAACCGGTCTGATCTTCAGCTGGAACATGCTCAGTATAACCCTCTTGGAACCCCTGAGCATATCTGAGGGCCCCAACCCTGGAAAATCGAGCGTACAGATCCAACATACCACCATTTACCTTGTTGATGGTGCTAAGTAAAGCATCACGCTCGTCTAGAGCTCTTTTCTCAAAGGCCATTCGAGCAAATTGCTCATCACTCAGAAGGCGCTGAAGTTCTTCCTTCTCAGCCTTAAGAGATTCTCGCTCGGTATGCTAGACACACTTCTCAAGTTGCAGAGCGTCATTTCGTCCTGAAGGGAATCAGTCTCCTTTTTCAGAGCGTCCCTCTCCTTCTCAACTTTGTTGAGTTGAACTATCAGCCCGATATTCTGAGCACCTAAAGCATTGTTTTCCTTGTTAGCTGCACCAAGGTTATCAAAGAGCATATGAACCTTGGCATTTACCAGCTTAACCTGTTTTTGTATGGCCATCATCCCGTAGAGGGTCTGTAGAGATATACATGACAACTGATTAAGCTGAGCGGATGTTCAGAAGAAATCAAATGTAAAGACTAAGTAAAGATTCATTGACTGAGGGACAGAAGTTACCTCCATGGCAGATAAGGAGAACCGATTGAACACTTCCTTCTGAGACAGATCCTTGGCTACCTCAATATCCTTAGGAGTCCACATGCTCCTGTAGTATGCCATAGCGGTCTGACCGTCCTTGAACATGGTCTCGTCCGGCTTTACAGATGATCCGTCCGTTCGAATAAAGCGAGGGTTCCATGGTGCCATTACAGAGGCAGAGGCATTGACAGAGGTTGCCCAGAGGGGGTAGGAGGCCTAGTCAGAGGGTGCACGGACACACTCAGCCCAGAAGGCCTAACCTTCTATGATAGAGGAACGTCATCAAAGCTGAGAGCACTATCAGGCTGATGCCTTTTTCCTCTCGTCTTTTCCCAAGCGGTAGCAGTAGCAGAGCTGGGAAGGTTGCTGACAGAAGGGGTCACATTCGGATTGACAGTCGTAGTGTTGGAGATCGGGTCGGTAGTCGTCACGTTCGGATTGGTGGAAGGAGTGGTATCAAAAATAGTGGCAGAGGAAGATACTAAAACTAGAGAAGAAGTTGCTGCAGGGGCAACAACGGTCCTGGAGGCAGTTTTCCTCCTGCCGAAGGAAGGGATCTGGAGCTGACTCATTGTCTTGCCAAGGGCTGAGAGAGCAAGAAGGTTGTCGGAGGTAAGGAGATCCGAGTAAGAGGGAATGTTAGTCAGAACGTACTACTTCAAATAATTATCCCTATCCTTGCAAACACTGTAGCTCAAATCATTACAAGGAATGCCTAAGGAATGGCATAAGAAAGTACAAAAGCGAGGAACGCAAATCTCGCAAGGACAGTCACTCTTATGGGTGTTGTATTTTTTATATGAAAAGACAGAGCACTCTCTAAAAGTGCTCGGGATTAGGAAATCCTCTGTGGCTGGAGAAAACCAGGCTCCCTAATCCCAATTATATTTTTCCTCCAACCCTTCTCAGATTTGATTTTATCTTTGCAGATGGACCTCTTCTCAATTGGGTAGAAATGGTAAAATGGTTCATCAGTTCAGATTTTGCTAACCTTGTAACAGAGGAGAAGATCTACGAGGTCCAGATCTAGACCTCTGTCATGGTTCAGAAGCAACATAATAGATAAAACCCTAAGGAAATTTAGGTTTACTTGCAAAGGGGAAAGTTTCAATTTATTAAAAACATAGTTAAAGAAGGGATGCAGAGGGAACCTAAGGAGGTTAAGATGAAGGTGGGAAAATAGAACCTCGCCGGGAAAAAGGCCAGCACCAGTTCTAATATCCACCTCTTTAAGGCAATTTATAATTTGTATATCGTCAGGAAGGTGAAGTCTCATGCGAAGAACATCTAGATCTATAGTCATGGTGAAAATGAATGAAGATTTTAAGGGATAAAAAGAGGTCTTCTGAAAGAGAAAGGCAAACAAAACTAACCAAAGAGAGTGAAAACGTCAAAGAGTACTGCAAGGTTGCTAGAAAAAGTAGCTTTTGCAAGAAATCACCAGAGAAGATTTGAACAACAGTAAAGTAAGATAAAGACAGTAAAGAGAATTGATGGAACATCTATGAGGCTTATAAAGACAAGGTGGGCCCGAAGGCCGAGGAGTCAGGAAAGCGAGGAGTTTTTTGAATCTCGAAGCACCGACCCCCAAATCTAACCGTCCATTCTTCCATGCGATCTTCTCGAGCCGTCAAGTCATGATTAGCAGCCTCTAATAATTACTCCCTAATTTATTAGGGAGTAATTATGGGGGAAGTTGAGGATACAATAAGTAATATGGGCCGGTTATAGTCCGCAGACGTGGCATCGGGGTAAACAATTGAAATATAGCCCATACAAGAGCACTACAGAATGGGCCGAGCTCAGAGGATCCACCAAAGAAGACCAAGCCCATTGGAAAGAAGGCCCAAAACTGATAGTCCAGCAGCACTTGTAATTGCCTATAAAAAGGCAGCGAAGAGAGTGAAAGGGGGGGGGGGGGAGATTTATTTTTAATTGAAAATGTAATGAGATTTTGTCCAAAGAGAAAGAGAGAAAATTCTTTGCATCTTCAATACAAAATCCTAAAACATCCCCTACCTCAATTTGAGATGAAAATCTCAAAAGCCACCAAAATGAAATGGCTCCGAATCCGACGATACTTCGGGATTTTGTCGGGGACAACGCCATGAACAATAAACTCCAAATAGGACCTACCAAAATCCTAACTTGGCCATAAACTCGAACTTAAAAATTGGCCAAAAACGGGTTCTAATAAGGGTGAAAGACGCGCGTCGTCAAAACGAGTAATAAACACTAAGGCACTACACCTTTTTACAAAAGGGAAGTGGCCAGAAAAGAAGAAAGAAGACCGGCAGCCATGGCTACCATGGATGGCCAGCCAAGAGAGGGGAGAGAGAGAAAAATATAATATTTTCTCTTAAGTTACTCTATTTATAGAAAATCTCAAAAAGTGCCCCGAACAGGCCCCACCGGGTCCGGAAAAGTGGAATTCGAGCAAACACACTCAAACAGCAAAACTTTATGAATGAAAAAGATTCAAAAATGAGAAAATATGAACAACAGAAGAAACGGCGTCAAAAACCAAGTCCCGAGCAGAAAGTTATGTCCCAAACAAGTTCGGCGGCAACCGGTGCCGAAAACCCTGAAATTGGAGAAAAACAACCAGAAGGAAATTCAAAGAGTACGCGACTCGATGAAAAGTGTAAATGAATCCCGTACGAGGATCGAGGCTCAAAACAAAGCATTTAGCAATAACTTTCATTAATTGCACAATGGCCCCTCCAAAAAGTGAAAACTGCACTACTGGCCTAGAATGAAAATATCTTCCAAAAATATTTTCTTAAAACCCCCTAAAATAAAATATCTTCAAAAGATATTTACAAAAAATACCCCAAGAAAAGAAAAAGATTCTTAAAAACTATGCATCCATGCCCCTATGGACACCAGGAGCAACCAGAGTACTTTCTTACAAAAATAAAGATACGTATTTCATGGAAACCACTTAGAATGAAGATATGTGAAGTCAAAAACCAACTCCGACCACAAGAAGTGAGGTTATGCCAACAAAGTGACAAACGGGGAAAAGACAAAATAGGGAAAATGACGAAATAGGGAAAAAATCAAAAAGTGAATAGTGTCGAAAAACGAAAAAATGTGGAATTGACTCGGTCCTCAAAGGAAGTTGTCAATCCAAAGAAAATAGTCTCAGAACTCACTCCAGAGCACTCGAGACAACATTAAGCGATGAGGAACTGAACCTAGGAAGGAAAAAGATCAACGGAAAAAAAAATATCCGTGAAAATCTGAGAAAAAGAAATGAAGGAAAAAGACCGAGTCTTTACAACCTTCCCACCTTAAAGGGATTTCGTCCCCGAAATCCTGCCCCA